AATGCTATCGAAATCGACAAGCGCATGGTCGAAATTCTTCACAAGAAAGTCGCTGAGCGAGGATTTGAAGACCGGTTGACTGTGAGATACAATGATCAGCTGTTTGATGTAATGCCTCAGAGGAGTTTTTTTTAAGCTGATTTCATGCTATTTTCTGTTTAGGTAATACGTGATGACGCACTGAAGGTTGATTTTCCACAATTTGATCTCGTGGTAGCTAATATTCCCTATGGGATATCCTCGCGTTTGGTAGCGAAGTTCGTGTTTGGCGGGAGTAAGTTCAGGAGTGCAACACTTTTACTTCAGAAAGAGTTTGCTAGGAGGCTGTTAGCCGATCCTGGTGAACCAGAGTATAACCGGTTAGCGGCGAATGTGAAGCTGGTGGCAGACGTGGAGTTTGTTATGGACGTAAGCAAGAGGGACTTTTTGCCTGTTCCTAAGATTGATTCTTCGGTGATCAAGATCTGGCCTAAAGAGGACGTTCCAAGTGTTGATTTGATGGAATGGTGGGCGTTTACACGGATGTGCTTTAGCAAGAAAAATAAGACACTCGGTGCGATATTTAAGAAGAAGAGGAAGTTGATGGAGCTGATGAAGCTGTCGCAAACTGATGGGAGTTTCCATGGTGATGATGAAAAGGAAGTTGAGCTGAATGCAGAAAGTGAAGATGAACATGAAGATGACAAAAATGAAATGGAGACGAATTTGGCAATGGGCTATAAGAAAGGGATGAGCTCGTTTAAAGAGAAAGTCGTGGAAATCATTAGATCTGGAGGAGTGGAGAGCAAGAGGCCTTCAAAGCTATCAAATGAGGAATTGCTGCATTTGCTCTCCGTGTTTAATCAAGCTGGTATACATTTTCATGATCAAGCAGAGGTCAAGGATGCAAACAATGCAAAATACTATGACAAATTGATAACGACTTTTATTAAATACGAGTTGACTCCAAACTAAGTTGGAGCAGAGGGCTGTGATAATCACTGCTGAACTGACCCCTTTTTTTAAAAAAAAAAAAAAAAAAATTTCACTCCTCATAGTTGGCGTCTGAACTACTATTATATATTGTTTCAAGTACCCATGATGGATCTGAACTCCTTTCGTTAAACTACTTGTGCTGCGGTTGACATCCAAGTTCTAGATGTCATTGAGTACTTTGGATCCCAGGGGTTTGATACCATACGAAAGTTCCACAGGATAAACATTGCATCTTCCTGCATTCATAAAAGACTATGCGATTGTTCTGAAATTGCAATTTGCAAAGTCCCAAGCTGACATTTTTCTGGGATTAAATAGTTGTGTGCATGAGAAGTATTTGGCTTCGTCTCTGCGAGCTAAAGGAATCCAGGTTTTAATATTCTCTTTTCAAGCAGCAACAAACATTGAATAGCATCCTGACTAGGCTTTGAGGAGCAAAAATTAATCTGGATCTTGCAAAACATAGAGCTATAATCGAGCCCTTACCCTGTGTCTTAGTAAACTGTGTGTTAATCCTTAGAGGTAAAAATTCGGTTTGTGAGACCATTTATAGTACAAAACTTATCAATTATGTGTCAAACTATTATTTACTCGCATTACAAATAATTTCTCAACGCGTCATTTTATCTCTCATACATGACAATTTATAAAGTACTATTGTAATTATTCCAAGTAATATTTCAATTAAGCTCCTATCCAAAATATTTTATTTATATTGTTATTTTATTTTATTCATTTATGTTTCTTAAGTCGTAACCTTCTAACGTTAGTTTGGGAAGAGCATCTTAACGACGTCGTCTTCTGCTGGCTCCCGCAAACTAAGAAGCAAGGTAGCCGTCAAATCTGCTATAGAGAACAGCACCAACCTCGTAAAACTTTACTCCGCTCAGGCGTAAAATCATGGGTCTCGGAGCCCTACGATCCATAATTCGACCCGTATCGCGGACTCTCTTGTCAACCCGTACAACCTTCGCTCTTGCTCCCCAACGAATCGCGGCCATCTCCTCTCCCTTTCCGGCATCTGAGCTCCATTTCCGCCACCACTTGGGCTCCTTCCACCGGAATCTTCCATTCAATCCGTCATCTTCCGCTTTCCACAGCTTAACGGACACCCGATACCCCAAACGACGCCCCAGTGACAAGCCTCATCGTAAAAGAGCTCAATTAAAACCCCCAGGTCACATTTTCATCTTCCCCATTCCTAGGGTTTAGGGTTTAAGTTTTAGTTTCAAATTTTAATTACAAATTGGTGCTATTTTGGGGATAAGAAAATGTACACCTCGTAATTTAAAAGCTAACTGAAATTTTGATGCTTTTTGGGTGAATTTTATTTGCGGATATTAGGGCCTTATGCTTGGGTGAAATATGTACCTGGAGAACCAATAGCTGGAAAACAACCCAATGAAGGAAGTGTGAAGCGAAGAAATGAGAAAAAGCGGATTAAGCTGCACCGTGCGTTTATACTGGTAAAGTCTTAAGCTTCATTTTCTTGGTAATCAGTAACTTTTTTTTTTGTTTGGAGCTCAATTAAGTTTGTTAATCTGCTTGATATATGGTTTTCTGCGTTCAATCTTCTAACCAAATCTGATCTTTTTTGTGGGTGACTATTTTATATTCTGGCCTAACTAGGAGTACGGATTAACTGAAATCCGATATGGAACTTGTAAAATGCAATGTCTGTGTAAAATGATGTATTTAATTATGATGACAATGTGTGAACATTTTCATGATGTTCATCAAGGTAACCTGATTAAATTATTCTGGATTGGGAAAATAGATGGGAAAGAACTAATTCAAGAGAAATGCCTTGTTAAACTGTTTCTCTTGAACAAGTTTATGCGCAACAAACTATCTTGTTCTCTTTGCTCTCGAGTGGGTTACAAATAGGATCTGGTGATTAAAGCTGGCTTTTGATTGATGACAGTGAAAATTTGCTGCTTCACGAAATTCTATAGTTAGCTGATGGTGCTTGCAGACATCTTTAGGCCTTATAATCTCATTTGTGATCTAATGGACTGTTGTCATTTGAAATGGTTCTTCTCTTTTCTGCTCTATAATCTGTCTTAATGTTGTAAATTTTATCAGGTTTGGCTATTTTGAGATTCTGCCAAAACTTGTGTGGTTTTCACTGAATTTTTTATTTATTACTTAGAAAAAATAACTTACTGTACTGGCTAAGGCATAATATTGTTGACGTTTGCATTTCCCTTTTATGATATTCTTAATCATGGACAGGCTGAAAAGAAGAAGCGTAAAGCTCAGTTACAAGAGGCCAAAAGAAAGAAAATGATAAAGAGGGTGGAGCGGAAAATGGCTGCAGTAGCAAGGGAAAGAGCATGGGCACAAAGGTTGGTAGAGCTTCAGCAGATTGAGGAAGAGAAGAAGGCAACAATGGCTTGACATTCTAGCATTTTGTAGTTTTTGTGCCGGGAAGAAGATGAAAGTTGAAATTGCATTTATCTGTTCAGTGTAAGCTTTACTTTACACACTACCTACTATAGTTGTAGTTCATGACTCCTTTATTTTGACATCTGTTGTCCTTTTCTTTCTTTTTACCCTTGTTTTGGATTTTCAACGGCTAGTACAAGCTCTTATTTATAATTCAAAGAGCATGTTGCTCGTCGTCTCCAGTGATCTTCCTGCAAGTGTATTAAAAAATTCTGTAAAAATCTATTGTCTCCGTCATTTTAGAAATTGTTGTTCCCTAAAAAATGCAGTAAACATATGTTGCCTCCTTGTTAATGGAAATTTCTTATTCACTAAAAAGTGTGAATCTTAAAATATCACATATTAACGGAATAGTTATTAGCTTCTCTTGCACAGGATTGTAAAACTTCATACTCAAATTCTTGATATACCCCACTGCTATGGCTTAGTAAAACTTTGGACCATTCCTTTTCAAGCTTGTCCCATCCATCCTTATAGGCAATCCTAGTGAGCTCAAGTGGATTGCTGAAGTTTTCAAATTATGTTGCTGTTACATTGTTGAATTTTTAGATTATGGGAAGATAGCTTCTATTATGCCTGGTAAAGAATTGAGCTGGGATTCAGTGCGGTGAAACGCATTGAGTTAAAAGCTTATTCATGGTCTACTTTTGCAACGAAATGCTTGAATTCCCCCATCAGGAGTTATAGGCAATGGGCATGTGCACATATGCATTACAAGGGGTGCTAGTGTCATTTGAATTGGATAATAGCGCTTGCATACATGGTATTGGCATCTAGACGAAAAGGGGGATTTTATGGAGCCGTGGAATGCTTTGCCCTGATTTGAGACTTGAGGCACCGTAGGGAAAGAGGAACAAAGGGGGGAAAGGAAGGAAAACCTCTGACTTTAACTCGGCTATGACACTGGAAATCAACATGGTTAATGGAGATCGGTTGGCATGAACATCAAATAATGTACTGTTTTCAGTTAAAGGGAAGGAATCAAGTTATTATGTTTGTAAGTTGCTACCCAAAAAGGTGCACAATGCAAGCAACATCATGATCCTTATGCCTACCGATAATGCTCAATTTAACTATGTCTCACTAATTACTCACAGAAAGAAAAACGATACTAAATCGGATTGGTATTTCATCTTCGAACCTTGTACTAACACAAATGAATTATTGTAATGTGTGGTTGGTTGAAGAATTAGTAGATGGTCTGCAGTTTCAATGACATGATATTCACTACAAGAAAACGGGCTTTTTGCAACGCTTTTGCTGTGGCACAAGGAGAAAGTGCGGTAAATAAGCAGCAAATTTCAATTTGTGCTGCAAATTTCACAACGGTTCCTAATTTTTACATAAAAATGACATAGTTTTAATAAAACCCATAAAAGATAGTTTCCTAGCACAATCCACGTATTGATCCCTTGTAAAAAGGTATCGATAAGCCCCCAAAAGCAGGAAGGGGTTTATCTTTTAGTAAAGGCACCCTGAAATAAATTATATTTGTTTCAAATATTTTCAGGTCACATGTCCTTTCTTGATAATAAGTTCAGGGTGCCTTCACATGAGCTAGATCCATTCCCTTATTTTTCGATAATAATAGAATGTATTCCAGAAAGTAGCAAGTCTTCCTATTCGCTTTTCCTTATCGATGAAGTAAAAGGTGAAGGAGAACGCCAGTCCCTACTCGTCATATTCCCCAGCTCAAATCTGGGCCAACTCGATCCGCGTCCACCTAGCACCAGCGGCAGGGCAGCCGCTCTTCCGGCCCCAAAATCAGTCCTCCTCGCACGCATTAGCACACAACGATCTCTTTTTCTTTGGAATCCTCCGCCGCACTCCAAATCCAAGCTATTTTTCCTACAGAACTTTTGATTGCAGATCTATCTACTCTACTCACTCCTTTTCCTCTGTCTCGCTCCAACTGGTAATATTGCTATCTTTTTTTCTTTTTTTTTAATGAATCGATGTTTTTACATCTAGAGACTTGTTAGGGTTTCGAGTTCGGATCATGTTTCTTAGCATATGCTATTGTATCTTTTCTTGTCTGCTCTGACTATGTAATGTCATAACGAATGTTTCTTCTATGGAATTTATCTGCAGTTAATCTAGATTGGATGAGAAAGACAAGGATATTACTCATCTGGAAATCACTTAACAATCAACAGTAGATTTTACTCTTGGTTTCTGTACTAGTAAAATGCGTGCCATGGACTAGATTTGCACGCTTGACATGATTTTCCAAATAGGTTGGCACAGATGCTAGTGCATCTTTATCTGGTTTGCTCTGGAAGTAGAGCTTGCATGTTGCGTTTATGTAACGTCATAACAAAATTTCCTTCTATGGCATTTATCTGAAGTCAATCAAGGTTGGATGTGAAAGACAGAGGATGTTACTCTTCTGAAAATCACTGAACAATCAGCAGTAGATTGTAATAGGCACTAACAGAGGAATGACTGTTATACTCTCAGGTTAGTGGGCTAGTAAAATGAGTGCCTTGGACTAGACTTGCATGCTTCATGACTGTGATTTTCCAAATGGTTGGGCACAGTTTATTGGTAAATTTTTATTGCAGCAGCAAACTATGTTTATCGGATGCACTTGAAAAACAAGATTGTGAGAAGAGGCCTAACCTCCTGAAGTGCATTCTCAAAGTCCTATAGAAAACCAAAACCACAAAAAGATATTATTCCTTTCATCCTTCAGGTTATTAAAGTTCCATTTTTAAACTGTACAAGGAGGCAGTGCAGCGAGATTTATGTATTCCTAGATAGGTTCTGTTCTTTAATTTTCTCTATGTGCTGTAAATTACCTTCACTGTTACGGGCCTCATATCCTCCTTTTTCAGCTTTGTGATTTCAAATCCCTGAGTAAGTGCCTCTCTCAGAGGGCCCATTGAAGCAGCCTTCACTAAGTTCTTCATGTAAGTGTTTCTTGCAATTAGGAATTTGTAAGACAATCTAGCTCCCCTGATTTATCTATGTTTCTTTTTCTTGTAAACAGAACACTGGTTTGCATATTGACATAAATTCACCACATTCTTTTGGCATTGAGAAATTGGGTTAACTGTTAACATCGCATTCCACTATGAGCATAGCAAACTGGGATGCACATGCTGCACTTTATTTTTTATTTTTTTTGCATGTTAATAAATTTGCTATTTTTCAATTCTGTTTATAAGGTCTCTTTTCTTGCCTTCTCAATCTTGTTTCTTGTAGAATGGATGATAGGTCTTGGATCTTTATTAAAGACCGAGTCAATAATCCGTACTTTGAAAAGTGTCTGAGTGACTTCCTTAAATTTGCCTACAAAAAGAAAGAGGTTGGGAGTAGAATATATTGCCCATGTAGGCGATGTAAAAACTCAAAACGAAGAAAGGAAGAAACTGTGCGTGCACATGTAACAATGAAGGGTTTTTGACCACTTATACAAATTGGATTTATCATGGTGAAGATCCATGGGACTTCAATCAAGAAAATATGAACAATGGAGTGTTTAGGCGCATTGAAAATGATGACATGAATGAATTGATACACGAAACACTTGGAAGAACACTTGAAGAGAATTCTAACATAAATTTAGAAGAACTTAGAGGAGCCTGTGATGAAGAGACTAATAAGTTTTTTAAGTTGCTGAAGCATGCCGATACAGAGTTATACCCTGGATGTAAAAATTTTACTCTTCTATCATTTGTCATCAAGTTGTTGCATGTCAAGTCTCTTTGTCGATGGAGCAACAACTCAATGACAATATTACTGGAGCTTCTCAAGGAAGTTTTTCCTGAGAATGAATTATTTCCAAGCTCTTATCGTGATGGTTGGAAGATTGTTAAAGACTTGGGTCTTAGCTACCATAAAATTCATGCATGCCCCAATGATTGCTTGATTTATTGGAAGGAGACAGAACATGAAACCTTTTGCAGAAAGTGTGGAACTCCTAGGTATAAGCAAATTGTAAAACAATCCGATGATTCAAGTGAACAAGCTAACAAAGTTCCAGCAAAGCTTGTTCGCTATTTTCCTTTGAAACCACGTCTCCAAAGGCTGTTCATGTCATCAAAGACTGCTTCATTAATGAAATGGCATGAAGAGGAGTGCATCAAGGATGGAAAATTGAGGCATCCGGCAGACTCTTTAGCTTGGAAGCATTTTAATGACCGGCACCCAAGCTTTGCTAGTGATCCTCGCAATGTTCGTGTTAGACTTGCAGCGGATGGATTTAACCCATTCAAGATAATAATGACTCTGAACAAAGTCCCATATGTAGGTATAATTGGAAAAGATTGAATATATTCTTTCAGTTACCGTATTGGGTGGATAATTTGCTTCCACATAATCTGGATATAATGCATATTGAGAAGAATTTCTTGGAGAATCTCTTGTGGACACTGTTGGGGATGGGCAAGACAAATGATGACATTAATGCTCGATATGATCTAAAAGAAATGGGGATAAGAAAGGCACTTCACCCACAATCTAAGGGTGACAAAGTGTTTCTTCCACCTGCATGCTTCACAATGAGCAAAGATGAAAAAGAAATTTTTTGTAATGTGCTAAAAACTGTCAAGGTCCCTGATGGTTATGCATCAAACATTTCGAGGTGTGTGAATATTAAAGAACGACAAATCTCTGGGTTAAAGAGTCATGATTGTCACATATTAATGCAACAATTGTTATCCATTGCTGTGAGAAGAATATTGCCTAAACATGTTTGCAGAATTATCATTGAGTTACGAGATATATTTAGGCAATTATACTCGAAAGTGCTTACTGTAGCAGATTGTGAAACTTTGGAGGACCGTACTCCACTGGCCCTTTGTGAACTTGAGAAGATGTTTCCACCTCCATTTTTCAATATCATGGAGCATTTGCTTGTTCACTTGCCTGAAGAGGCGAAACTTGGTGGACCATTTCAATTTCGGTCTATGTATCCTATTGAGAGGTAAAAGATTATCAACTTAATCTATGTACATTGAAAAATCACCACCGATATTAATATAAATTCTATGCATAGGTATCTGTGTACTTTGAAAAATTATGTACGGAGCGAAGTCACCCTGAAGGTTCAATAGCAGAGGGCTACTTGGCGGAAGAATGTATGACATTCTGTTCCATGTACTTGGACAATATTGAATCAAAGTTGAATCGCCCACCTAGGAACTATGAAGGTGAATATTTAAATAGACAGATTGGCCGTCCCTTAGGAAAAGAAGAGGTCATCTATTTAGATGATGTCTCTTGGGTTCAAGCTCATCGTTATGTTCTTGGAAATCTTGAAACTGTTGATCCTTTTCGCAGGTAAGTTCACAGTTTATCAAACTTAATCAATAACTCATGAATTATTGCTTTCATTAAAGTATTTAATGACTAATGTAGGGACCATAAGCATTTGCTAAAACTGGAAAAACCACGCATGTCAAACTATGAAAGGGAGAAAATTCATAGTGAAACATTTTACAAGTGGTTTAAGAAGCATGTAAGTTTTAAATTCAGTAGTGAATTTAATTGAGCTTCATTTTCATATATTTAATATTCTCTAGAGTTAACATACAATAACAGTTTTTGTTCAAAACTTGTAGGTTGCAGATTTGGAAAAATCTAATAGTTGCCATGATTATTATAAAGAAATTGCTTATTTGGCTGCTGGTCCTGATAAGTGGGCAAAAAGCTATTCTGGTTACATTGTTAATGGTTTTCGTTTCCATACTAAGAAGCGTGAGATGAGAAGGCAAACTCAAAATAGTGGTGTATTTGTGAATGCTAGTGCCAATAGTTTCGCTAGTACAAAGGATAAGAACCCTATATCTGGAATTTTAGAATACTATGGGGTCTTAGTGGATATTGTTGAGTTGAGATACTCAAATGACATTAAATTTGTGATGTTCAAGTGTGATTGGGTTGATAATGTCATTGGAATGAAACAAGATGAACACAACTTCACACTTGTTAACTTTGATCATATATTGTACAAGCAAAACACGAAGAATGATGAGCCTTTCATCCTGGCCTCTCAAGCACAGCAAGCTTGGTATGCTCGGGATGCATTGGAACCTGAATGGAATATAGTTGTCAAGATGACCCCTCGAGATCTTTTCATTATTGATCCAGAAATTAACATATGTGAAGATATCCAGGATGAGCATTCTGCTTGGCAACATGTTAATAACAATAATTCTGAGGATAGTAATGTTTCATGGGTTAGGGAAGGTGTTGATGGAGTTATACTTGATGCACAAACTACAAAATCCAAGGCACACGTTGCTGAAGTTGATGATGGATTCTTCTCTGATGAGGATAATCTTGGGATTGACAATACGATTGATGATACAAGTGATGATGATGATTTTTTTGATAAAGCCCAACAAGGAGACAAGGCTGATGATTGACTCTAATTTTGGAATATAATCCTAACATTTTGTTAGATGAAGTTTAGATATGCCAATATTAGATGAAGTTACTGATTAGTATGAAAAATATTAATTGTGGGATCATTTTCACTGCCTTGGATGTCAATTTATAATTCCTTATGTTCATATTAGTCTCCTTGATAACCTGCATTCTACTTTTTTTTTAGCAGGTTGGTAATGCTGGATTTACCTTATGTTCAATTTATGATTCCTTATGTTCATATTAGCAAGTTGGTAATGTTGGTTTCATTGGGTTATAGTTCCTTAATATGTATATGTTCTTTGTGTTTGCAGATTTTAGAAACTTAAACTCCAAAAGTAAGATGATACAACACTCTCTTGCTGAATTATGTGATTGGTTTCTGAAAAAAGCCAGTAAAATTAATCATCTTACTTAACTTTGCCTTCAAAAATCAGAAGCTGCTTTTATAGGTTTTCCATGGCACCAAGTAAGAAGGGGCCCCACAAAGTTGTTGGGCCAATGTCCGGAGCGCATATTGAGTCCACTAATAGTTTGAACCCTGTTTCACAGTCAAGCTCTCAATCTTATCAGACTTGCCCCAGTCATTATTCAAAGCCTCCAGCACATAAATTCATTGGGGCAATGCCTGGAATACGCATAGACCCTACATCTAGCTCAAACTCTGTTTCTCGACCTAATTGTCAAGCGAAATCACATGACTCCAATTCAAATTCAAACTCAGCTTCTAGCTTTATTGCTGCTTCTCAGTTCAACTCTAAAGCCAATTCACATCAGTTGAACTCCAAGGCTGATTCTCAACTAAATTCCCATCCTAATTCACATATCGGTCAAGGCTTTCATTCTCAACCACTAGTAGACCATCGTGAGCAACCAGATTCCTTTGATAACAATGATTCTGAAGCTGGATCAGGTTCTTCATATGATTCAGAAGACATAGAGGATGTCTTTGATGGTACTTTTGATGATGATGATTCTAGTGAAGAAAGTCGGTTGGAAAAGAAAAGATTACCACAAATAGTTTTGAGTCTAGCATTCCTTATTATAAGCTTTGTATAATATTCATAAAAAAAATTATATGAATCACAATTTTTTCTTTTGTATGTGTATGTGTTTTTTGTACACAGGAGACAATAGTGGTAGAGGACTAGCCAGACGAAGTGCTGGTTGGGGTGGTGGAAAGAAATTGGAGTTAGTTTGGAATGCACGGGGCCAAGTAATTGGTCCTAATGCTACACAGTATATAAGTCAAGTAGGAATCTTAGTAAAGGATGGTAATAAATTACCACTCACGTACACAGATTGGAGGGCCATGCCTGAAGGATCTAAGGAGAGATTTTGGGAAGATATTAAGGTATTTTGACTCACTATCAAAGTTAGCAACATTTTTTTTCTTTTTATTTCATACAATCTTGTAGCTTGTGAATGTTTAAACTTTTGTTTTGTAATTTTTGATAGAGAAATACAAATATTGATGATACATGCAAGAAAGTACAAATGATAAGGGTCAGCAAATTGTGGAGAAATTGGAAATCAAAAGTCAAGAGCATGTATTTCACTCCTTATAGGAGGCACAGGTCATGGCTATTAGCACACTGTCCTGCAAGAGTTGAGGAGGATCAATGGCCTATTTTGGTTGATTATTGGAGCTCAGAAGATGTCAAGGCATGTATTTATTGTCACATCTCTTTTGCTTTTGAATTAAATTCTAGTGCTATTATGATTTTGATGTGTTGTTAACTACCTTTTTCTGTTTTGTACATAATTAGAAGCAAAGCAAGATTAATAGCAAGAATCGAAAAAAACAAAAGATGCCACATCGAACAGGGCGAAAAGATCATGTGAACCTCAGGGAAGAGGTATATTAAATTCTAATGCTTATGTTTCTAGCAATTTTTTCTGGAACATAGTCTTATTTAGAAATATTAACACTTTAGTTTGTACATTGAATATGTGGCAGCTTCGGATTAAAACTGGAAAAGAGCCTTCGAAACTAGACGTTTTTATTCATTCAAGACAAGGAAAACAAATGGATGAGTTGACTTCACAAACAATTGTAAGAATAGCTTTTAGTCACTTTTTATTGGTTTTACTTCATAAATAATTCTTTCTTCTGTTTTTCAATTTAGGCAACTATGAATGAGGAAATACAAAAACTGCCAGAGACATCCAGGGATGATAATTTTGTGAAAGATATACTCTATGAAAATATTCTTGGACCTGAAAAACCAGGTCGTCTTCGAACTTATGGGGTAGGTGCGACTCCAAAAGACGTGTATAGGATGTCAGATAACATGAATGCTGGACAAAAGAAAGCATTTGAGGATGCAGTGAATGAGAAAGTGGAAATCATACGTGGTGAACTACGAGAAGAAATGAATTCGAAATTGGCAGATTTTAAGGAGGAGTTGATTGCTCAATTTGAAGCAAGAATGGTTTGGGATAACTATTTGGTTAAATATTATAGTTTTTCTAATTTTTTTATTGCTTTAGTTACTATTGATCTTTGTTCTTCCAGAGGGCATCCACATGTGACTTGGCATCACTCCAAAGAAGAGAAATGAATGCAGCAAAACAATCTCAAATTTCGGACTCATTAGAGGTTGTATATTAATTCATACAATTCGATTTTGTGTTCAAACTCTCTGAAATATCAGCAGCTATGGCCTGATTTTCTTTTCTTCACACTTTGTTGATAATGTAACAGGTTGGTGATAGAATGAACAGGGAAGTTGGAACAAATGATGCTGAAATGTACAAGGAAGTTGGAACAAATGATGCTGAAATAAACAAGTGTGAAATGAATAAAAAAGTTTCTTCAATTGCTGATATTCTTGAGGTATAGTATGCGTACTTTGAGTTGGTCCTTCTATAGAAGACCAATTTTGCTGAGTTCCTTGTTGATATTGAATTGTGCATGACTTCCTTGTTGATGACTATTTGTGCGTGAGCTCCTTGTTGATATTTAATTGACTAGTCTTTTGTTATACCAGAACCATCATACAAAGAAGAAAAGGAGCAGGACTACTTGCAAACGACTTGCTTGAGGTACTGGAAAAGTTTCTGGAAATAACTCTATTCTGTCAAGTTTTCCATTGAGTATTTGTATGATTGGGAAGACGAGCTGTTTTTGTTAAGATTTAGCCAGCTATTTATGGGACATAATGTAGTAGAAGTGGTCTTAATTTTCAGTATCTGTGAACAGCCACGGATTTAAGGGGGGGCTGGTGGGGGCTTAAGCCCCCCCCAAGCCGCCGGAAAACCCCCTATATATAGGGGATTCCGGCGGCCATTGGTTTAGATTTTGGTAATAATACTAACTGGAAGAAATCCCTAGTATGAAAGTCGTAAGGTGAAATTCTAGAGAAGAATTGAAGCGGGGGTTAATTTATATGCTAGTATATGATCAGATAGCTTTGGATTTGAGCGAGGACATCAGCATTGGGAATGTCTTTTTATACTTGGCCGAGTGAGAACGAGACAAGAAGGTTCCTGGCTAAGAGGATGAAGAATTCATGGGCAATATGCCAGCTTGATAACGCGACGTTAAATTAATGGATGGGTGTGGTGCTTTCATTATTTGGGTGCTTCTTAACTGGCCTGGTCCCCAAAGTGGACATTGACCTTTTGTATGGAATTTATGGCAATTGAGGTGGTTTCCAGTCTGTGCAGAATTGAGTAGTAATGCTGGATGGGCAGCCTAAAGTCAAGAAAGTTCCAAATATCCAGCTTTGTTTAGTTTGAGTACGTCAAGTCTTTGCCCACTGCAAATGGAACTTCTCAAAGTCTTTCCCATTCTCTCTTTTGGAGACCTTATTACATTTTGTGAATGAATTTGAAGTTTTAGCAGTTATTGCTTAGTCTAAGTGGCATGGATCACAATTGGATCAAGACTGTATTCTGTACACAAGCTAGACACATAGTACATTGTAATGTTCTTTTCTGTTGTTCAACTTGTCATTATTTTTCTATTCCTGAGTAAACCATCTGTGTTTACTTTTCCTCTCAAGCAGGTGTTAAGCTTTACAAAGTCGTCATATTTTACCAAACTGAAAAAAAAATGCACTTTTAGTTCTCAAGATTTAAAAGTTAAAATAAATTACTATTTCTAGTTCTCAACCTTAAAAAAAAAAAGAATTGAATTATTCGAGTGCAACAACTACCAATACTTCAAGTGTTAATCAATAACAAATTTTTGGGTATGTATAATTATATGTTTTTATTATTTTTATAATTATTGATTCTAAATTTTACTTATTAAATATATTTATTTCGTCACAAAAAAAATTTTTTAATACACTTCAGTCCCCCCAAAAATAAATTTCTGGCTCCGTCCCTGTCTGTGAAAAGGTTGAATTACAAATTCCGTTTCAGTATCTATTGTTATATTAACGTTTTCTTCATGCTTAATGGGCTGGGGTTATATGAGCAGGGGACTAATAGAATACACTTTGCAGCCCTGGACTTGATGGTACATTGGAAGCATGCGGATTGGGAGATATGAAGATGTTTTTGAGAGATGTATGATGAAGTGCTGTACTTTTGAATTCAAGCACATTTTGGAATATATGAAACATCTTGTAATTGGAGCGAACAATATTAAATGATAAAGTTTGTAGAATTTGACTAAAACAATGTATGGTACTTTATTCTAGTGTATTGTGGAACTATATTTTGTTATAATATTCGATTTTAGGATGTTTGAGCATGATAATTATTGTACCATGAAAAAATTGATTTCTGGTCTTTATATTGGTGACTTTTTTGCGACGCAAGTTTTTGTCGCATGACATTGTGGACATTTTGTAGCGCATTTTTTGTGCCGCAAGTAGAGTTGTGACACTCAAATTGGCGTCGCAAAGAGTGATGCAAATGCATGTGACATGTTGAAAAATTGTGTCGTTTTCTTTTGTAACGGCTACTTTTGTGGCACAATTTAATTCCGTCACATTTGTGCCGCAAAAAGGTTTTCGCGGCGGTTTTTGGACTTTTTGCAGCATATTTCTGGCGTCGTGAAAAGTCAGTTTTCTTGTAGTGATTCCCGTTTGAACTAGCAGTTGCGGGCTGTCTACAATTCAGCTGGAATTTCTTGGCCTACATTGACCTATATTTGTTCCAATCAGTCCGCATACAAATCTTAGATCTAAAGGGCAGGATAAAAAGTAGACAGATTTAGCGATTGAGCCAAAATAATCTACAATAACTCTTGTATTGACTGCTGAAAATAACCTATGTCAGCTGTAGTTTGAAGTTTCCAGCAATTTAGGCCGTACTAGGCATTAAAGCACGAGCATAATCATGCAAATGCCCTACAACGTATTGTTTATCGGGTAGACAGGGATGAAGGTTAAAGCTATAACATCATTAAACCAATGTTTGCAAAAGATGAAACGTGGGCGTGTTCGTATTTTACTATCAATAAGAGAATTCTGTTGGTAAACGATCTGTAAAAATTTTTATAAGCGACTTATGATTTCAAGGCATATCCTGATCAAAGATGATAATTGGAATCGAACTCATTTAAACTTTTTTGTACCAAAAAAAAAAGAGACTTTTTTCACCCAAAAAAAAAAGGGAGAGATGCAGGATTGTCGTCGTTCGATTACCAGACACTGTCGATGTACCAGCAGAGCACATGTTGGACGTGGTAGAGGACCACCATGCACCTTCATCCATTCTTATCAAAGAAGAAGAAGAAAATATAGATTTTCATGCCATGATGGCTCTGATGATAAAGGTCAGAAATCATAACCCCACTCCACTTGCAGGCTTAACTAATCAGTTTTCTATCAGGGCCCAGGGAGAAGAAAACCCTTCTTCAATCAAAAGAAAGACAGTGACCCCGGAACAAACTCAATGATATGTACTTACAATAGAGAAGTCATATGCCATTTGTCTTACAAGTCACGAAGATAAATATCATTACTCCAACGCTCTAGGATTGCAGTAAAATTTAGATTGATCAAAACGCTTAAAATCTCGGGGAGATGTGCTACAGGTAGTAATAATTGATATAGTCTCATCTTGTAAGGCCTGTGGTTGCGGGGGATGACCCTTGCCTTAGGTTTATGGTTATCCAACCGTCTTTTTTTTTTTTTTTTCCTTTCTTTCATCATTTGATCTCTCTTTCATTATGCGCTTACTAGGGGTGTGATGGTGATCGGCAGCTTCCGTTTCAGTCTGACGAATGGAAAATAGGTAATGTCATCATCTTCGGCCACCCATCTGCAAGGGAGAAAATGAAAGATCGTGTTAGCTGCCGTTACTTTCAGTATTCACCCGTCACCACCTTAGCCACCTAATGCAATAAGAAACCATAGTGCCACTGCTAAAAGTTTTAGGGGTAGCATCCGCATGTGACTCTCTCAAGTCTCAACTATCTATTTGTCACAGGAAGTTTTAAAAAAAATAATAATAAAAAGGAAAGAAAGAAGACGAAGAAAATGACCTGTATGTTGTAACAAGATGATGAAGGAAAATAGCAATTTCGAGCCTCGACAGTTCTAAACCGGGACACAGCCTCTGGCCACCACCAAATGGTGTAAATGTGTTGCTGTTAACCGAAGCTCCTGTTTTCTACCAACCAATGCCCAAAAAAAAATGTTGATTAGAATGGTATCCAGACCAAAGAATCTTTTTGTTTCGTCTCCATGTTGACATTTTGCACGGGCGACATCAAAATGATGCTCTGATTGATAATTGAAAGTTGTAAAGAGGAAGTCATTGAACTGGTAACAAGACAGATAATCGGACAAGACACGTATACCTCCCATCTGCAGGGATTAAATTCATAGGGGTTTTCATAGTTTGCTTCGTCCATGTGAAGTGAACTGAAGGATGTCAAGACACACCATCCTCTTGGTATCAAGTGGCCTGGGAAAAGAACCCCCACAACCTAAATTAGCATTTTCCTGACGAGAATTTGTGAAGGGAAAAAAAAAAAAAGGGTAGTGTACAACCTGCTTTTGGCAAACGACACGTCCATAAAAGTAAAGAGAGCTACATACCTTTAATTTTCACGTCTTTTACTGCTTCCCTCCAAACTGCATTCACGATATTGCCCATTCGCAGAGTTTCACTGATGACCTGAAGTGACCAAAAGAAGAAAAGAACAAGATACTTGAATATTGCAATTCTTTAAAAAAAAAAAAAAAAGAATGTTCCCTTTCTTCATTTTGGCGGGTCTAGACTCTATTGGTTACATGGTACAGCGACTCAGCAACTTACATTCTGGGTAAATGGGAGCGAGACATAATCAGTCCAATAATATTCATCACCCGACTTAGCCTTTTGCCGCTTCAGTTCCATGTTCTCCTCCTGCCCAAGTGATAAGAGGTTACAACTTACAAGAAGCACACACTACTTAAATTTGGAAGGGAGGCTTAATTTGTTTGATAAGAGTAGTGTTTTTCCTAATAATTATTTTGATTAATTATTATAGCATTTTTTATAATGTGATGTGATACATTTAAAATAAAAAATGATTAATAATATAAAAAAATAAATTAAAAAATATATTTATAATACGAGTGAAACATTTTTTGAAAAAATTCGCTACCCAAACATATTAGTTGTAAGAAACTTGCAGTAGTACCCGGAAAGAAAGAAGGAAATCTTGAAAGAAATTTGTAGTAGTACCTAGACCGAAAGAAGGCTGACACCGACCAAAAGAAGGCTGACACCGAAAAAGAAAGAAAGAAGCCTCCCCTCCAAAAAAAAAAAGAAAAAAGAAAAAATAGCTAGTGAAAAAAGCCACCATTTTTTTTGGAAAAAAAAAAGTCACTACTTGACGGACAAAAATAATAGTATAAAATAGTAAGGAAAAAAAAAGGAGCTTAGGCCTTAGTGTTTTAAAAAATATATAAGGTAAAAAAATAATTACAAATTGTGCTCACAAAAAATGGTTTAAGAATTTTTCTAAAGGACAAAAAAAATCCAAAGAAGGTACGTAGTTGTAAGATTGGTCCACCGGCTGACAGCCGTTCAATCCAAATCGTACGGCTAGAATAAGTCCAAACAGACCATGGTGGGGCCGACGAGCATTTCCCCACGTGTGGGGGGCGCTCGTGTGTCTGATTGAAAATGACATTTGAAAGTCAATCGAGTACGACAATCATAAAGTGAAGTTGACATCCAATGGCCCACTGGAAGCTCGTGGATCTAGTTGATCCCAGCCGTAGGATTACCCAGAACCTCATCCTCCTATCCGTCGATTGAAAAAACAATCGTAAAATCCAAGCTAGCGCCAGCCACGGTACAAAGAAGAAAAAATCTAGTACTGGTACATACCAGCAATCGGGCTAGCACGACGGGGCTGTCACTCAAGAACTTGACTGCTAGCGTCAAAGCCGTCGGAACAGTCTCTTCACCGGGAATCATCAACTCTATGACGTTCTCACCTATCGAATCCAACGGCAGCCGTGGCTGAGCCTCCTCTGCTGCTGATGATTCAAACGTGTCGCGCAATAATACATCAATTACGTCATTCAGCAGCCCATTCATTCCTTGTTTTTCTTCCAAAGCAGCCATCTTTCTTTGCCGTATTATGCTTCTAACCACCTTCAACATCCTGTCTTTAGCCTGCATGGACCCTAATAATATTCACGTGCAAACCCTACCAATGACTAACTTCAAATTCAGCAACCAATTTTTTTTATAAAAAAAAAAAAAATCTATGAATGGTCAAATATACTGCGTTGCGTTATATATTTCCAACGTAAATAATTAAACCGTTGGAAATATTAATTAGATGGATGGATGCATGCATGCAATTGCAATTGCAATTGCAATTGCATATATAGGATGCGTTTGTACCTTCAAAGATTTGTACAACCTCGTTCCAGGAAGTTTAACGGGCAAAGAAATCAAGCCTTTGCAGTATTCTTCAAATTCCGTTCTCAACAAATTCAAATCTTCACCCCGGCCGACGCTCATCAAAGTTTTTACCATGACTTCAAATGCAATCTGAAACATTAACCATGGTTTTATTTAATCGTCCTCAAGTACAAT